CATAGTACATGTGCCATCTAGGTTAGAGCCCCCTATAATATTTCTTATTCGTATCTTACATGACACCACTATTTGTTCACTCAATTGTGCTATGCATGTTATTTTATGATTAAGTGCAGTGTGGCAACGCACTTTGAAAAAATTACGCACTTTGAAAAATTGGCGCAAAATCAACGCACTTTGAAGAAAAAAATTTCAAAGTGCGTTAAATTTTGGACCAACTCAACGCACTTTGAAAAAAATTTTCCAAAGGGCGTTAAGAGTCTACATCAATATATTTTACCATGGAGACACTTAATGCACTTTGAAAAAAATCATGTTTTAGTCATGGAAAGATTTTATTTGTTATTTATCTTTCAACAAACTAAGCCTAACCCTAACCTCAAAAATGAATTGATTTACTCCCGTCGTCGAAAACAGGAGAAGACGGGTATAAGATCACTCAGTCCAAATCTTTATCTTTCCAATACATAGGTGTCGGTAACAAACAGGGGAGGGGATAAACCTAAAAAGGGTACGCTGCATTTTCAATGCTTATATGATGTATATATCTTTCCAAAATAAGTGGGGGGGGGGGGGGCTTAGCCACCACCATCCCCTCCCCTGGCCCTATCGCCCAGTCTCGGTGTCTATGCTATACTCAAAGCATTCATATAATTATGTATTTACCTATAACTGGTATGACATTGAAAACTTTCAATAATAAATGAGTTAATTAAAACAGATGAAAACTAGAAATTTTTAAGTAAGTAAAACGTATGAGAGAGAAAGAATTTGTTTAGTTTTGAACAATCAAATTGGCCCCTTTTTATTATGATGAATGCTAAGTTGCTTGAAGCTGTCCTCTGTTATTCGCCCCTATACACCTTTACATCTACTTATCAAAGACTAGAATTAAAAAAAAAGAAACGAATTAATGACCCTTTAATTTTCCCTTTCATTTTATGAAAACCTTTAATATTTAAAACGTCAATATCCCAGGTCCTACAGTGACATCATAAAAAAGTTATCAACCCAGGATCTGTTTTTTATCATACCGATTGTTTGAAGGAATATTGATCAATCTTCACATTTTTTTCAAAGTGCGTTAATATGGTCGATATTAACGCACTTTGAAAAAAAATATTTTTTTTCAAAGTGCGTAAGCTTGGTCCCAAATTTTAACGCACTTTGAAATTTTTTTTCAAAGTGCGTAATTTTTCAAAGTGCGTTGTAACAGTGCAGTCATATGTGTATAACTTGCTTTTCCTTTTGTTGCAGATTTCACGTACACTGCCAGTTTTTGTGTTAATAAATAAGGAAATATGAACCAACTCGTCCCCACATTGTTTATTCCTGAGTAAGCTCAGCCCATTAAATTAATAAACCCCGTCCACTGAAAAGGCTGGGATTGCTTTCTGTATAATTCGTGTCCGCCCTATCATCATCATCTAATTAAGAGTCTCTACCTTCCAAAAACGACTATGCCATTTATCGACAGAGCACGGCTCACTTTTGAAATGCTTCCTGCTTTTTTCCATTTCAACAGTTTGTATCGGTGTTTTTCCCAGACCAACACAATTTTTTTTTACAATGTAGAAACTCGCTGTTCTGTGTCGTCGTGCAGTCATTATTTTTTGCCTATTTCGATGCGGACTAGCAGTCTTCTTTATTCGAGAATAAAGATCGGGATGAATAGCTAATTATCAGAATAACATATTTACAGATACAAATTTTCATGTGTTTTTAATATTTTATGAATTACAGTTCTAAGTAACTTGACTAAAATCTTACAGTAAATTAGTAACAATGATGAAACATGAGAAAAATTCCATAGAAAAAATAGGGGGGTGAGGTGTTTGAAGCATAATAGTATATTATACGTTTTGACTCGCACAATTACTATTGCCAAAACTTAGAATTAAACAGAGACCTTTGAATGGTGCATGATGATAACTTAAAACTTATTTTTATTTATGGGAAAGTGGAAGAATTTGTGATATAATTGTCATTCAAACATAAGGGTTACAAATTACCAGTGCAACATCAATGTATACAAAAAAAAATTAATTTATGCAAATAAATTTTCCTAATAAAGAAACAGAGAGCAAAGTTTCTAGCTTTGAACGAAAACAAATCATGCAACACCAGTTAGATTATTTGCGTACGACTGTCTGCGTGTTGGTTCCTTGACAGGAGTACTAGTCAGATCTATTTGGTTATAAAAAGAGCCACAATAGAAAGGTTGAAAAAAAAAACATGAACGTTAAATAGTAATGCATTCGAAGTCTGGCCCCTGTTGGCCCTTTATATGAGGGACAAGCCCTTATTTCCTCAAATCATCTTAAATACCTCATGCTTTTAAACACTTTTTGTTCAAAAAGTATTCAAAGATTGTTTTTTGTTTTCGAGTTATTTGCAAAAGAAATATTTAGGGACAAACCCTTTAACTCCTTAATGGGGATGTTTAGCGAAAAATGAAAGGTTGCATATTGCTCAGAACATTATGTTGAACATCTTTTGTTCAATATTACTCATCAAAATAATTCTTTCTATCGAGATATAAAATATTTAGCAGTCTGGAACTTTCTGGACCCTAATGATGTACCATACGACATAAAAATCATGATATATAGTTGTAGATGGTTGAGATAAACATCTTTGCTTCAGTAATGTATTACAAAATAATAACAGATAAAGTGTTATCGATTGGAGACTTTTGGCTCTTTTTGGCCCCTAATTTGAGTGCCCAGTCCCTTTCTCTCGATTTTACCTGAAAACTCAAAGAATTTTGAACACGTTTTGTTCAACAACAATTCAGAGATTTGTTTTCGTTTTCGAGTTATTAGCAAAAGAAATATTAAGGGGCCAACCATTGAAGTCCTTAATGGGGATGTTTAGTGAAAAATGACAGGTCGCATATTGTTTAGAAAATTATTTTGAACATCTTTTGTTCAATATTACTTATCGAAATATTTCTCACTTTCGAGATATAAAGCATAAAAAACTTTGCATTCTGGCTCCTTGTGGCCCCCATTTATGTACCATACGACATAAAAACCATAATATATAGTTGTAAATGGTTGAGATAAACATTTTTGCATCCGTAATGTTTAACAAAATACTAACTGCTAAAGAGTTATAGATTGAAGACATTTGGCCCCTTTCATCCCTAAATGTGATACGTTTGCACTTTTTTCAAGATCTTGTCATTTTACACAAATGTTGTTCAATATGTTATAACAAAATAATTATATTTTGAAAGATATGATGCAAAAGGTCTCAAAAAACACTCAAGATTCGTAACCTAAATTCTGACGCCTAACAAATTTCCATACTAGGCACTTCTGGAAAATATCCTGACCCAGGTGCAACATGGCAACACGTCCTTTATCATCACTTAAAAAATTCAGCGCTCCAGCATAAGCTGTTTTTGAGTTCAATAACAGACAAGGAATTCGTTTGAATTTTGATAAAAGGGTGATAACTCTAGAATGAAGGTACATATCCCTACAAAAACCAGCGGATTTAACTTCAGATACCAATGCATCAACCGTGAAAATTTGAATAAAATCGAACTTCCAATCTCAGTGAAATCGCCTGCACAAATTTTGTAAGAAGAATAAAGAATAAAAACAATAAAGGGGAAAAAGAACCGGACGATCCTTATATTAAAAGTGAAAAAAACAACAATACACTAATGGAAGGTTCTTCCATTGGAGACGGAAGACCCTAAAGATAACTAGATGAGATATCGTTTCGAGCAACGAGTTTGTCTTTCGTACGATTCTTGATGAGATGAGATTTTGATTGAGATTTTCTATTAAAATGATGATTTGTTTAAGAAAAACGATTTTGCAGCTGTAATAATTAAAGTAAAATATTGAACATAAAATAGTCCGGAATTTGAATTTTGGCCCCTCTTGGTCCCTTATACGAGGGGCAAGCCCTTTTCTTTTTCAAATCATCTTAAATTTCTCATGCATTTAAACACTTTTTGTTCAACAAGTGTTCAAGGATTGCTTTTCATTTTTGAGTTTAGAGTCGCTAATTAAAGAGACAATCCTTACGTCGTGGGTTCCACTGCAGGACGTCTCCACGTCCTTCGGGTGAGACCAAGGCCCCGTGTCGCAGTAAGTGCTGACACGAAAAAGATCCCTCCCTGCTCAATGGCCCTGGATGCCGAGTATAGGACAAAATTTGCAGCTCTCCACCGGCAAATGGCGGAGTCTCCATATGAATGAAAAATTCTCGAGACGGACATGAAACAACATACAATCAATCGTTTTTGGGTTATTTGCAAAAGAAATACCCTTTAACTCCTTTATGGGGACGTTTAGTGAAAAATCAAAGGCTGCATATTGTTCAGAACATTATTTTGAACATCTTTTGTTCAATATAACTTATCAAAATATTTCCCACTTTTGAGATATAAAGCGCAAAAGATTGAACATTTTGGCACCTTGTGGCCCCTTATCATGTAACATACGACATAAAAATCATAATATATATGACTCAGTACCAAAGACACCTTTGTCATATTGTTGTTTGGTAGTTTGCTCTCAGACAGTGCTTCTTCAAACAGTCTAAGCAAGGTATAACCTTGTATCTCTATCATTTTACCACAAAATAGGTCGGATCTTAGGTCATTCACCTTTCTGGATAATGTCTTTGGAGCATAAAAGTGGCAGGTAAATGCTTCTAACTTGGTCATCAAATTTTTGACAGATCCCATCCCTTTCCTAGCTCTTGGAACCTATCTTGTATATCGTTGCTGCCAGTAATCAGTTTCAATGCACTTGCTTTTCCTTTCCCAGCAATTACACTTAAAGTATCCAGTGAAAGAGCGCAACCTAACTAGTGCCTGACATGCATGATTTCATTTCGATACTGGTGGCAACTTTGATTATGGCAACCAGTCTGATGCAAATTTAATTCCCACATTTCATGAACCTCAGAACTCAAACCTTGTAACTGAATGCCAATACCCTGATAAAAACATCAGTGTTCTCTGAACAGATCTATGTGGCACTATAGCCCTGCCTTGCTGCATGAGCTGCCTGAAGAACTAGGCGCCCATCTGCCTCTTCTTGCAGGCTCTGGAGATCTGCTAATACGTCGTGGTCTTGAGTCTTGAGATGTTAATCATTATCATTTTTCCATCATGTTTTGCCTAGAGAACCTTTACATGCACCTAAATTTCTTTAAATTCCGTCTTCATCCATTCGTTCACCAAAACCTTTATGATTCTATTTTTATTGTTAATGGTGCTCAAGAAACTCTTCTACTGCCTGACGATTTGAGTGCAAGTAATATTCTGAAGTTGATGGCCATCTTTTCCTCTTCGAACTGATCTCTCACTGTCTTGATTGAGTTCTTTAGGTACGTGTCAAAAACAACATCTTTCCTGTCACTATTCACCCCAGCCCTTAGTACCATTAAAAACATCGTGTTTGCAAAATCTTCAAATCGGATTTGATCACCTTTCACCTTCAGTTGATATGCTTACAAGGTCCTGCTTCTCTGCAAAAGAGTTGATCCATTCCTTTATCAAATCGACAATTGCTGGCACAGCCAGTTCGTCCCTCTGAATTATTGGACATTGCTATTCTGTATGAACTACATATGTGCCAACCATATCTTCAACGATGTGCCTTGGAAGTCCTTGAAAGGAACTTCGATACTCTGCAGTTACATAGTAACGTTTAATAGCTGCAGCTTTTAAACTGAATCGAGCTGTTCTACCAGGTGTCTGTTTGTCCTTATTTATGGTGATCTCATTGGTCTGATCCACAGGAATTTGTCCATAATATCAGAAAATGACCACATGCCATACACTCAAAAATGACTTTCCCTTTGATTTGTCATCCGAACAAAATATGGGGACAGATATATCGCGCAAAATTCAGTTTATCGATTGCCAGGGGATAAGTTTACGTACAGTACAGCGTACAGATGAAGGTTCCAATTTCTTTCAAGTGACGCACAAAGGAGACCAAGTATGATACAGAGATTATCAGTTAAAAAAAAACCTTATTCTTTGACCTTATGGTCTTCGCCTTAATGCATATTGCATGCTGGGTCTGTTTCCACTACCTTTTTCATAAAACCTAAATTTATTTAATTATAATACCATTATAGTGTAATATCTGTGTTAAGTAAACAATATACACAGAGTAAATCAAAGGAATTTATTTTATAATCTTCAATTTTGGTTAGGGATAAAGATTTACTATGAGATAAAGTGATATATATTTATGACTTAAATAATGTTTTAAGGTAATCCGATCCTCAGGCTCTGAAAATCAGGCATGGAGTAGTTGAAAATGATAACAAAAATGTCTCTGAATTCTCAAAGAAATTCGTTTTTATCCACAAGAATTCTTTAAAAATTATCTTGATAGCTAATTATTACATATGGAAATTTAGTAAATCTCAAAGAAGTGCGTCACTTGAAACACCTACTATAAATTTTCCAATTCACTATTGATCAACAAACACTTTTTTGAATAAAAAGTCATATGTATCCAGGCTTTTGAAGAATTGCTTGTTTTAATAGATATAAGGATATGAGGTCTGTACTTTTTTTCTATTTACTTCAATCATTTTACAATGTATAATGTAGAAAGACTTTGCCTGTCATTGCAAAACACCACAATTCACTTCTAATTTCATAGCATAAGAATAAATATTGGTATTTAGGATAAGAATAAAAAATATGCATGTACTCAATTTTTTTCAATATGTAATTTTACATAAACACTGTTATGTGATAAAAATTTCAGTTTTTTAAAGATCTTTTTGAGAACTTTAAAGAACCTTGAAGCACATTGCGAGTCATAAAATTAAAATTGTTGCACGAAAAGATTCAATTTTCATGTTTAGTAAAATTATAGAATTATATTCATATATAATTTAGAGGGCTCATTACAGAGACAATATTGAATTATTATTTAACAGGGTGATAGCATGGATTGTATCTTAAAGAACTTTCTAGGACATATCAGACATAAGAAATTTAAACAATAAAATTAACGGAAGAAGCAGTTGCAGAAAAAAAAAATCCCACCTTCTCTTTTCATAGACAAATCTGAGAGAGCAAACAATTTTGGTAGGTTTATATAAACGGTTGATACACCATTAAAGCCACAATCAACTGAATGCTATCATACATTTTATGAAGGTAGAGATGTATGTCCTTTAACAAATGACTAAAAAAATTATTCAAACAAGATGGTACCGATACTGCAAAAATCCATGCCCTGGCTCATGGACAAAAAGTATCGATATAACGTTATCACTGAAGGTCCAAGCAAGTTTGTTCCGCATCCATTGTTGTCGTATGACTAAACGTGACGTTAATCATGAAGCTCCACGTGGAAGAAGATTATTGATGATGTGTAGTTGGTAAATACAGTGGTGGGGGCACATTAGCAATGTTAGGTGGGTAGACAGTATAACATCGTTTCATGCAGTATTGCTCTCGACCAATGAAATTTAACTATTTTTATCATAAGCAGGATAAGTTTTTTTTTGTCTGCCTAATTCTATTGTTCAAATACAGCTTCAATTTCTTTTATGAAATCACAATGTCAGGACTAAGAAACAAAAACAAATGTGCATTGTCATTATGTTTTGGAATTCATGTTGAAAACTTCTATACTCACTTGATTTTTGGCTTTCCATATCTATTTTTCTTTCACCAACAATGATATAATCCACATTCAGTTTCTTGAGTTTTTCACATTGATGCTGATTTAATGAAGTAAGGTCCTTGGCGTACTTTTCCTTTATTGAAAGAATTAGAATAAAACCTTTGGCATTACAAAGTCCTGCAATCTTAATTTCATCTTCCCTGCATTCCAAAATATCTTCGACTGTCTTTTTTATGCACGCAATTTCTTGTTCATTGTACTCCTGAAGGTTTACACATATGTGAAATTTTACTTGTATGAATCCATTTTCTAAAAAATATGAATTGAAATAAAGCGATAAACGTGATTAAGGACAGATGATACAAAGAAAAAATGGATGCCTGGATTGGTATATATTTTTTTGTCTAATTTCATTGAAAAAGATGCAAATAATGAATTTCTAGAATATAAAGAAACTGTTAATCTTCTATGGTGATCAAAGTTTTAAATGCGATTACAATTTAGGTTACCTTGCGGGTTTTCATAAAAGCACATAGCTTTTGCCTTTATTGCATATTCAATGCATTTTTCGTAAACTTCATTGCATCCTGCCTCCTTTAGTAAGTATTGCATGTAAATCACATCTCTAGGGTTAAAAAGGTTGTTCTCCTTGATAAGTTCAATACATTCCTCAGATGATTTCGCTGCTTTTATTGAGTTTGCTTCAATGTCGCCTAAACCTACAAGAATAAGATATGTTTGTGAAACACTGATGCCCTCGTATGGCAACATAGCTAAGATTTAACTTTTCGTAAATGAAATTTTATAAATTAGTACCAAAAGCAGGGTATCTACTTACTCACTGGAAATGCACTTGTGAAATATGAAAGTAGGTCATGATAGTTTTTCATAGGAATGGAAATCTTCAAGTTTAATGTTTGATATCCAATAAAAGGTCTTACCACAAAAAATACATATGCAAAAGTATTGACGCCCAAACCCATACTGTTCTGAAGTTAAGGCCAGGGTTAAAAATTTTAAAAGGTAGATCAAACTTCTACCAATATATGATTAATTAATCGATTGTTAATTGATTGTCATAGAGGACTGTTTCGGAAAGGTAAATGAAGTATAAATGATTAGAGTAAAATATATTGTTAATTATCAGATGCTATTCTAAAAGGGTAAAAAACAAAAACTACTTGGAATAATACTTGAAGAGAGCGACAAAAAAATCGCTTTATATGTCAAAATTTCTCAAGCAGAAAGCTACATTTCTGCAGCTAAATGTAATAAATTTTGTACATACCGAGCAATATCTGTTTTAGGTTCGCCACTTTATCAGAGAAGGCATTAACAACGCTTTTACTCAGGTTGAAAAAAGGTACACTTGATCCACTCTTTTTGTAAAACCTCCTCAAAGGATCTAAAACGAGAGGAAATATAATCATGCTTTCCACTTGTACATGTATATACGGGGGGTTATCAAAAAGTTCGTGAACTGAGGCTATAAAATTAGTACTATGTAGTCAGTACTTTCAAAATTTATGAGGGACATAAAACATCAAAAAATAAAGAAAGGTTGAAAATTTTAGCTTGATTCGTCCATTATTTGCTAAATTATGATAAAATAAAAAATGACATTATATGATTTCCCGGGGCTGTCGCCGTTTAGTTTCATGACGTCCAACAACTTCATTGTTTTTCAATGTCCACTTCATCTACCTCGTACACTTAATTTGATGAGATTCCCTGGAGTTGAGTAAGGAGTTCAACCCGTCTTGTTTATTTGACTTTAAAATGTCATGAACGGCGGCTTTTAATGCATATAATATTGCAATTGGATTTATACATTGGAAGAGATCTTCGCTCGATTGTGCCAGCATATTTTGCTTTTGGCAGTTTAAGGTTAATAAACCCTCTGCTCACTTACGTTGCTTGAACCTTGATGATTTTCCAAAAGGAATGTATTATATAAGTAAAATACAAAAAAATTATAACATAGCTTGCGGGGCAAAATTGGACAAAAAAGACACTTCAGCTTCGCAAATTTATAAACGAATAATATACATTTATGACATTA